TTTTTTGAATATAACAGTTCTATGAAGATAAAATGCACTCATAGGGTCAAGCTTTAGGAGCTTTATTGATTAAATCGTATTGTGGCTCATGAATATTCATGATATGAAGGTTGTTATGTTTGAAAAATCTAATATATGGACTTTCTTGTTAAAAGTACTTAAACATTAAAATCTACTTGGTAGTAATTAACAAATATTGTTGTGCTTTTGGGTGTAGGTTTTAAGTCCTGCCTACCACCCTGCACACAATGATGGTCTCACAAGACGCAAGACACAAACTCATTACAGGTAAACATGATAAAAAGTAAATATTTGAACATATGGCATCAAGGTAAGAACTATGTGAATCAATACAGGTCCCACTAGAAAGCCTGAGGTTTTATATGAACAACAGCAACGTTCTATTTGCTTACGTGGAGTAGAACCAGCCCTGCAGATTTAGTGTCACTTTGGATGAACTGTCTGGTTCCCATCGGATGTATAGATTTCTATAGTCAATGATAAACCGTCACTGGAGCGCCTGATAACTGGAGTTTCCATGTTTTACACAGAACCATACAAACGGAAAGCCTGCTTGTCTCCCCGAGGAAGTCGCATGGTTTCCTCCTGAGCTCTTTCCGGTTGGGGAAATAATGAGGATGAACCCTAACCACACAAAGACTAACAAGTTCTACTAAAATGTTGTCAGGGAGATTAGGTAAACAGCTGCCCCCATCAACTAACAGATTAGCCACTCAGTGAAGCTGAAGTTTTATACAATTAAGCACCCCATCATTCTTTCTGCTAAAGCAACTAAAGCTGTTCAGAGGCTACAACTGCAAAAATGTCATGTCCTTTAGCTTTAGTATGGATTTAGGGACAGACAGCAGTCCCTGAACAGTCCACCCAAGAGTCCAGGGGCCTCATGTCTGAATGGTGCGTACACACAAGAAGGTTTTGTGCTTCAGGCACATGTCAGGATGAATAAAAACAAATGTCTGAAAGAATACTAAAACATATGCACACTTCTTACCTGGGGTGAGAATGTTCTGACCTCCACACTGTTTCAGTCCACAGAATCAAACTAAAGAACTGAAACTCACCTGAATACACCAAAATTAATTCATTAGGTTTTCAGTGGGTACTTAAAACATGAGGTTTTATCACGAGTTTAAACATTTAATTTGGAAATCTGAATGAAAAAACTGAACCAACCTGGAAAAATGGAACATCCAACAGAACATCTAAATCATCTCAAATATGATAAAAGCTTGAGCGTCAGATCACATGTTCTTCAGGTGAATTCAGATAAGATGGCCTTCAAGGCCAGACAAGGGAGCCAAATTCAGATAAACACACAGTTGTTTTGGGGACAGGCAGAACTTAACGACATCTACCTTGAGTCTGTGTTGGTCCAAAGGACATCCTTCCCCCTACAAGTGTGGTTAGCATGGTGGAATGGGACATTATAAAAATGATTAAATAAGTCCAATCAACAGAACCTGATCCAGGATCTGGACCTCCAGGTAAAACATTTGTACCTAAGTCCGTCAAGGAACAGGTCATTGAGTGGGTTCACACCTCAAAATTAACCTGCCATCTTGGATTTAACCAAATTACCACTTTCACCAAAAGACACCTTTGGTGGACTACCATGAGTGCCGATATAAGGGAATATGCGGCAGCATGTTCTACCTGTGCAAGGGATGAAGACAACTATCGACCTCCTGCCTGACTCCTTCTACCACTCCCCACTCCTGGCAGACTCTGGTCTCACATAGCCTTGGACTTTGTGACAAGCTTGCCCTTATCCGAAGGTAATACCACCATACTCACCATCATTGATCGTTTCTCTGAATCTGCCAATTCCGTCCCCCTAACAAAACTCCCTACAGCCTTCGAGACCGCTCAGCTCCTCATTTCTCAGCTGTTCCATATCCATGGCATCCCTGTAGACATCATCTCTGACCAAGAACCTCAGTTTGTCTCACAATTCTGAAAGTCTTTCTGGGAGGCCCTCAGGGCCTCTGTCAGCCTTACCTCTGAACACCATCCACAATCCAACGGCCAAGCAGAAAGTTGCGACCAGGAGCTTGAAGCTGCTATCAGGTGTGTGGTCAACTATAACCCCTCTTCTTAGAGCAAACACATTACTTGGACTAAGTATGCACACAACTCAGTAACCTCCTCCATCACTGGACAGTCACCTTTTGTGGCTTCTCTGGGCTACTCTCCCCCTTCATTTCCTAGTCAGGAGACAGAGCTAGTGGTCCTCTATGTGCAATAACATCTCAGTCGATGTCGATGGATTTGGTGACAGACCAAGGTGGCCCTCCTCTGTGCAGCAGAAGAGAATCAGAGAATTGCAGACGGACGTTGTTCTCCAGCAGCTTATTCCCCTGTCCAGAAGGTGTGGTTATCAACCCAGGACATTAATATCAAAGACACTCCCAAGAAGTTGAGCCCCAGGTTCATTTGTACCCCATTGAAAAAAATCATTAATCCTTTCACAGTCGGGCTCAACTACCACCCCATATGCATATTCACTCAACTTTTCACATTTCACAGATCAAACCTGTTTCTTCTGTAAGTCCTCTCTACACGTACCTTTTACTGATTGTTTGACTCTAATGTCTCTGTTTGCGTTCTGGGTATTCAACCAATAACATAAAAATAGGATAAGAATTGAATGAGTTTTGAAACAAAGAAGGACCATGTTTGATAGCTAGTCTTGTCTGACTAATGATGTACAATACCAAACACAAAGAAGGATGAGGATGCTGAAGAAGACTGTGTGATGCAAAAATTAGCCTTCATTCAGCAAAATAGAATCTGTAATCAGTAAACAATGTAATTTTTATTCAGTATATCGCATTTACATGAATAAAAAGCTAACAAGAACAGTTGTCAAGCCAAATCTAGAGGCAACATCTTCCATAAACCTTTTGTTTTTAGACCTGGCGCCAACAGCTTCCAGCTGTAAACTCAAATGTGCAGTTTATTTTGATTTTATGCTTTAAGAATATCAAACTGGCTCCAAACACTTTACACCTTCCAAGTAGGGGTGCACCGATTAATCAGCCGATGTGATTTCCTTAATTTGGGAGATTGGCCGATACTTACATGAGAAACCCATTTTTCCGATTTTGTTATGTTTTAGCAACAACTGTCTGAACTTCATTAATATTTCAGAGCACTACCTCATGGCCAGTTAAAACAAGTTTGTATTGTTTCTAGGATATTGTCCAAGGTATGTTTTTCCATAAAATAATATTGGACAATTGAAGGTGCATTGTGACCTTATAAAGCCTGACAGTATCGCTTATAAAACACAATCAGAATCGGCAGGTCAGACTTTTTTGAAACCGGTGAAGCCAGAAAACTGCAATCTGTGCACCCCTACTTCCAAGTAAGGCAGGATCTGTTGTTCAGTTTTTATTGTGGTAAAATAAAGACAAACCCCAAATGTGTAAATGTCAGTGAAAACAGATGGTTTGAAACAAAAAAGAACAACAAAACATTATCAGGAAAAACAAAAAAGGTTGAATCATGTCATCTGGACTTCGTTTTTTTGTTAAAAAGAAACGTTTCGCCCCTCATCCAAGAGGCTTCGTCAGTCTGAGGCCTAGCCATCTGGTATTACCCAGAAGCCACCCTGACTCTTGTGTT